GCAGTTGGAAAGACCGAGAGCTTGAACAACATCTTCCTTGACGCTGAGTGTTGCAGTAGCAGTCAATGCCAGAACAGGAACACTAGGAAACTTTTGTTTCAGGATACCAAGACACTGGATAGGGACCAAAAGCTTAGTATTAAAAAGGACCCTCAATTCAAATTACCCACTTAAATATGTGATTTAAGACATCACCTGATAGTCTGGCCTAAAATCATGCCCCCATTGGCTTACACAGTGTGCTTCATCAATAACAATTCTAGACAGTGAATCACTGTCATGTAGCCTCTCCAGGTGTCGCAACAGAACATCACTTCTGCATTCAATTAAAAGTGTCGTTCAAACACTTTTTTTTTACCTTGGTTTATCAATTAAAGATGAATTTAAAAATATTGCTTTTATATTCGATGTATTTATTGAATTTTAGATGTAAGAAATAGACAAGCCAATTAAAAGCTAAAAGCTAACATATTATTTATTATATGTTAAAAAAAGCCAACACTCACTTAGCAACTTTCTCTGGTGTGACGTATAAAAGTTTGTATTTGCAAACACCTGAACTAAGTTCTCTAAGAATCTCCTGCTGCTCAGGCCATTCCAAGTTTGAACTAAGATATGTAGCAGGAATGTTAACCTGCATTATAATTAGCCAGACAATGAGACAGGCATTCAAGTGAGGAAAAATTCTAAATCCATATCGTTAATACAACAATTACCTGTTGCAGATGCATTATCTGATCTTGAATGAGTGAAACAAGAGGTGAAATTACTAAAGTAACCCCAGGAGAAATGAAAGCTGGAAGCTGCAAGAGACAAGCATTCTTGTTATATCATTCATACAATCATAAATAGGAATTTTGGAGACAATTCCTCTTGATGTGGAATTAAGAAGTTGCCGTGTCAGTTAGAATTAGAACATCAAAAAAAGGCAAAAACACATATTGCCTTATATATAGAAAAAACTTAAGAAAAATGATTAATCTATTCCCACAAAATTCTCTTTATCTCCTTGCTTAGTTCACTACATTTTCAAGTGATTACTTTTCACCTTAGATGCTAACCAAAATTTATCTGACATGTCCTAATTCCCTCAAGATCGAGGTACTATACTCACATACAGGTTACTGCTGCATCACTAGAACAGAAAAAAAAAACCTTAGATATATCTCCATTGAATGGGTGGTTATCTACCTATTTGAACATGACTACATGAACAAAAAAGCATTAGCACAAACAAATAAAATTGCCATTAGTGGTACGGGTATGTACTAAGATTCTAATGACATATGCTTAGACCTGCAAACCAAAGTTTAAATGCTTTCTTGTAGTTATTAAGAACAAATGGAATATTTGATAAAGAGATACGTATTATCACCTGGTAGGTCAAACTCTTCCCTCCCCCAGTTGGCATTAAAACAAATACATCATATCCACTCATGGTGGCATTGATCACCTCTCTTTGGTTGGGGCGAAAAGAGTGATTTCCAAATATTTTCTTGTTGTTGACCTAGCAGCAGAATAAATGACCATATATCTGAGTAATCATTGTGAAAATGCAAACTGTTCAAATTGACTTATAGGTACACACCTCAATATCTTTTGTCCAAGGAAAGTCTCGGCAGCTCCACTTTTTATCATTTGAACCATCAACGTAATTAACTTCTATATTTGTTGGTATGTAAGTTTCTCTTCTGACACTATCATTTGAAATACTATTTGATGAAAAAGGCACCGATGAAGAATTCCATTGATCAAATCCAACCGGTTCATTATATTCAAATTGTGTTTCAAGCCTCCTGGGATCAATCCTAAAGGGAATTGTTCGAGGAGTCTCATATTGAAAATTTGAAGCTGTGGTGGATGCAGAGAACTGTGACGTTATTCTTTCTGCATTAACTGATATTGTGCGGAGATACTTCTCAAGATGTTGAATTTGAGTATTCAACTCCAATCTATAGAAACACAGTCCACCAAGCGTTAACTTGTCTACCATATTTATTATATGTAACAAGTACTCCCTCCGTCCCCCTGTATTTGTCCACTTTCATTTTTACACACCATCCAATGCACTTCTTTAATCCATTTTATCTTGTAATTTGTATATTAAAAAATTATAAAAATTATATATTAATAATCTATATGTTAAGACAAATCAAACAAGATCACACATGACTATATTTAGGCTTACACATTGAGAGAAATTGATGAGTCAAAGTGCTTAAATGAACAGTTCCAAAAGTCAAATGTGGACAAATACATGGGGACGGAGGGAGTAACACATAACGCATATATATAATGCACACACACACACACATATATACATATATACATATATATATATATATAGAGAGAGAGAGAGATTTTTTATCAAATGAGAATGATGTAGGATGAGAGAAAGAAGAATGTATATGGTCCATTGGATAAAAGATATCAAGAGGTGTGAATAAATGAAAAATTAGAAGAAAAAATCGTGATGACATATTTGTAAAAAAGTCAAACTTTATGTCACATCAAAATATGCACATAAATATGCATAAGGTTGAACCAAATATGCACCATTCACATTAAAAAAGAGAAAAAAAATGCTTCATTCACATTTCTCACATTCAAAGTCATTCTCACATAAATCACGCCGCGCACGCACACACATGTGTGTGTGTGTGTTTGTGTTTGTGTGTTTGAGTGTGTGTTAATCAGGGAAGACTGTGAGTGGCTCCTATTGGTAAGTTACAGGAAGCCAGACTTAGGTGGTTTGGGCACATTAGGAGGAAAAGTTTTGAAGCCTTTGTCAAGATGTGTGAAAGGCTTATCATAGTGAGGTTAGTCATGGTAGAGATAAACCTAGGTAGATTGGGGGTGATTAGGCAGGACTTAAGTCTCCTTGGTTTTAGTAGACTTTTTGTTCATTACAACTGTGTTTCTCCCCTCTTCTTTCCTCTCTCTTGGGTATTGGATAGTACTTTGTTAGTGTATAGTAGATTGTTTGCCCCTACTTTTTGAGTTGGGGGTCTCTTAGAAACGTCTCCCTACTTTGGACTACGGGTAAGGTCTGCGTACACTTACCCTTGCATTGTGTGGGATTATACAAGGTTGTTGTATACTTGTATATGTGGGTGAGTGTGTACATGCTCACTACAAACCAAGTATGAAGAATTTAAACGGGGCAGCAATAAAAATATATGATTCATAAAAAAGAATCACTTTACATCCAAAAGTTGTATTTCAAACAATTTCTTTTTTATCTTTTACTCGGATAAAATACAATTGTTGAGGAGGCATGAAACAATAGAACAGAGAGCTTTTTTAGAGAATAAAACCTTTCTTTGCGCAGATTCTCGACTTGGTCAGAACTGAGATTAGTAACATTGTCAAGAAGATCATTTGAAATAGAAATTAATTTATCCTTCATATCTTGCAAATGAGCTGGCGCCTCCGGACAAAGTCCTAGCTGCAACAACCACATGAATAAGATAAGAATTAAGGTTATTCATGTCACATAAAAATTCAGATTAAATATTGCTAACCTGCAAACCATGATTGCAATTTGAGGACAGCTCCAAAGGCAAACTACTTTCTTCAGTTTTTTCCAAGCATCTAGAACTCATGCCTGGAGTAGAAGGAAATTTCGAAAGTGATGGTTGAGGTGTGCAGTTAGATTGATAATGCTCCATAACTATTTGGTCAACATCAATTCCCTACAAGACATACAAATGATCATTATGTATATTGGTGGGAAATTTAAGGAAAATAAGAATACCGCTCGCACCACTTTTTTTGTTTATTATTGGTGTGAAATCAAACCTCATTCTATAAGTTTAATGTACTTGTGGAAAATTCTGTATGTTTATGTTCCCAGCAACCACATTGTAGGACACAAGAGCGAATTACCTCCAGTACATCATCATCATCAAATCCATCTGCAAAACTGTCATTAGACCCTCTCATTTTGTTTAAATTGACTGCATTGGCTGTGAATGATCCATTGGGGGGTTGCTTCCAAGAAGCACTTGTCGTTGACGAGTATATACTATTCTGGTTAGTCACAGTATTTCCCAATTGCGTGTGCGATGGAAAAGAAGCCCCTGCAGACTTTCTGAATTCTCCTACTTCACTGTTAGTTTCCCTAAAGCTCTGATGAAATGGCACCTGTGAATATGAAGTGCTATTCACATTGGATGACCATTGTTGATTGGCTTGAACAGAACTTCCTACAGCAGAAGCACTGGCATCTCTAGTAAAGGGTAGAGTTTTCCCAGGTTTGACATAGCTCTTGGAAGACAACCGCATGTTGGAAAGATTTTGCCATGCCTGAATTTATAAACAGTCTGCAATGTTAAAGCCAACCAAAGAAGAAAATGAAAATGACACTGTTTAATTCATATTTAAAAAGTGCATGTGTGTACAAATGGTACAATAAGCCATACGAAGTTCAGTGGAATGGACAAATTTGAAGTAAATAATTTTAAAAAAGTGAACTTCATTCAAAACTGGGTCTATATTGTTCTTTAAATTGAGATTTGGAGGACAGTATGAGTATAAGAATATACCTTCTCAGCTATAGGGTCAGACAACCTCAAATCCTGAATTTGACAAATGGTTGGCCTAGAGCAATGATAATCAGCGTAAGACTAATGAGTACACCATCAACAAGAGACTGATCAATAAATAAAAGCATAGAGATTGGCATATTATCAACTTAGAATCTATTGACTTGGATTATCTACTCAAACCATACACACCCACTATCTCCGACTAAATACTAGAGTTTGTGGTGGGCAAAATATATGAAGACCTTAACTCTACCCCTAAGAGTATATAGTCTTGTTCCATGAATACATCCAGCAAGAGGTGAAATGGTGTAGAAATGGAAATGCACTTAAATGACCATGCAAGAAACAAAAAAAAAATCAGTAAACAAGTAGCTAAATAAACTGTGAATGGAGCAATCAAGATAAAGCGGTTGGAAAAAAATTAGTGACAGTCTACACCACCTTATACCCATTGCTCTCATGGCACTAGGCTTTTGTTCTGGAAGGGAAAAAAGGAAACCCGACTTCAGTAAGCTGCCCTGAGTGAGACCGTTATCAAGACGGCGGGCATGTTCCTGCCAGTTAAATTTTGGGAGTTTGTCACCAGAGCAGGGTTTCTCAACCCAGCCGCTTTCACTGCTTGACAAATTGCACCATCAGATGAATTAGAACATAAACAGAACAAAGTTAACAGCAACACTAGTCCATAAAACAGCATAAAGTAACATCCTTGCCTCGTGTGGTTCTCCTTTGACATTAAATACGCTGACCAACTTCACCTGGCGGATTTCGAGATGAAAAACTGTACACTAAATAGCATGAGCTAGCAGTCGTGAAAAGGGGAAACTGAGAGACAAGGACACAAGCAATTGATTTGCAGTGTGATTTACAGCATGCCAGAAGAGGACGAGAATGCATAGAAGTTAATTAGGGATTGCGCAACTATTCTCGGAGAAAAACTAACCATTGGACAGTGATGTTAGCCGCCGATCGGATATATGCGGCGGAGTAGGGCGCAAGTGGTTACGGTGGTGGCGAATTGACGAATGAAAAGGGCGGTGGGGGAGAAATGATAATATTTGGAGGAGAGCTTTGAATTCATGGCGCGGTTAGCAGTGTGTACGGGCGGGATGGTTTTAGGAGATAGGGCTTTGAATTTAGCATTTCAAAATTTGGGTACAAAAAATTTCGTGAAGGTCTGTTGGACTTCTACAGTTCTATCCCTTTACTCTTTTAGGCCCCGTTTGGGTTTGTGCGCGCAAGAATCTTTTTTTTTTTTTTAATTTCACAATTCACATCATTATTTATATAAAGTAATCTGAAAACAACTTCAGTTAAATATTGTAACGCGCAACAGAAAGATAATTTTTAGACTGAGAGAATATCTCATTATCTTTTTTTGTGAAAGATAAAAAAGAATTTGAACTTGAAATCAATATATATCAAAAACTCTTCAAATAGAAAGTTTCAATATCTATTAGATTTGGGAGATATCAATGTATATATTTGCAATTTACCATTGTCACCGCCAACCATACATATTGCTAGCGAGTGACCACCCTCACATATCACTAATTAAAAATGTGATTTTAAGTCTCTTCAAATAATTTTATTTTAAGTTTCGTTTAGTATTTAGAATTCAAACTATAAAATTAGAATTGGGGACAACAATTATAATTCTAGTGTTTGGAAGCACAAAAATGTGTGGATTTGGAAGTGGTAGCGCCAAAAATGAACTGGAATTAGAGAATTCAATTCACCCAAATCAATTCTATAGAATTCTAACTTCCAATTCAGTTCCAATTCCGTCAATTCTGTGTACCAAACGAACCCTTAGATTTTAGAACTCAAGCCATTTCTCTTGTATTTTAAAATTCGTACCATATCATACCTCTAAAACTTAACAAACGACTTTTAAAAGCTTATCTTAGTTATATATGCTCACTAAACGGGGGCACATTGGTCGGGCCGAGTTCAAATTTATTTTTTTGTTTAGATAAGTACGATTCCGAGTTAGTAACTGTGTGTCAATGATAGCTTCGTTTGACATTAGATTTAACGTTTTGAACAGTGATCTAATGATACCTTTTAATATTAGAATTTTCAAATTACTTTATTTTCTAACTTCTATCCTTTATAGAAATCACTCAATGTAGTACTCCAATATATGCACTCAATATTATACTCCCTCCGTCCCCCATAGATCTTCCCAATAGCCCTTTTTCTTTGTCCATAATAGATCTTCCCATTTCATTTTTTAATAATTAAAATACCACAACTACCCCTACTTACTTTATTTATTACACCTCACCCACCTCATTTAATACACTCCATCCATTTTCATTAAGGGTATTATGGTAAACTTTCACCTTTTTTCAACTCTCCTTAAAAACCACTAAAAGTCAAAATGAGAACATCTTAGGAGGACGGAGGGATATACATTCCTTATTGTTTTTCACACATTTGCTTATTTATAACGTGGATCTCTTCCAATTGTACTCTTTTTTTTTTGTACGTAGCACTTAGAACCGTACGTCGTGCTACTCCTCACTGCTTAAACACATTTGATAAATGAAATTGAGAGTGTATACCCACTTTTTTTGCCAGTGTAGAATGGTTATGTTATGCCTACACTTTCTGGCAGTCTATTATGTCCATATTTTGCATAGTGTGTCGTGGTTACAATACTTAACTACACTTTCTGGCAGTGTGTTATATGTATGTTCTAGAAGTGTATATAAATTTAAACACATTTATTGGAAGTGCGGAATGATCATGCTTTGACAGTGTGGATGCATGTTATGTTATGTATGACGACAATATGTTATGTTCATGTTTTGCAAGTGTATACAAACTTAAACATATTTTTTGACAGTGTGGAATGCAAGGACAAATTTGGAATTGCATTCACACGAGTTCTAATATCCTATGGTAGTACTATATTGGGTATTTTAAACATATATTAGTACTATGACGGTACTTTTCCCTATTCTTTAACTTTTAATGATAACATTAAATTTAACGTTTTGAAAGACGGCAATACTTAATTATGAATAATATTATCATAACAATAATAATGCGATTATGAATATTAATATTATTATAATAATAACAAGAATAATAATAGTAATAATAATAAATTATAACAATAAATTAATAATAATGAAATTTTTTAAAAGTTTTTATTAGATATTCTAATTTTTTCTAGTTTTTCCAGTACCATATAATTTCTTCTTGTTCATTTAAGTTTTTTCTAGTTTTTTCCAATATTTAACTTTTTTTTTTCAATCCTAAAGAACCGACCCTTAATATTAGTATTTTCAAATTAATTTATTATGTAACTTTGAATGATAACTTTCTAATGCTAATTATCCTAAGGCACTTTTTGGTTAAGTCTCATACTGTGCATATGGAGGCATGGAGCCATACACTCCAGCAGGGTAGATGAAGCTCCTGGCCTCATCGCGAACTATAACACTGTGTTTGTTTGGAGGTAGGGGGAGGTAGAGGGAGGTAGAATTATTATTCTACCTTGTTTGGTAACAAAATTGAGATAGGTCATGAGAGGTAATTGGAGGTAGAGGAGGTAGAGTTACCTCTCAACAGTACACTTTTGGGAGACCGCCGATTTGGCGAAACATTGCGGTAATAAACTATTTTCCGCTGCTACCCTCTCATTCGTTCGCAGAGCAAAAAACAAGTCTTCATCTTCAAGGTTCCTATCGCATCGTCATCCAATCGCAGGTAATTTCCGATCTTCCCCTTCCCCTCTGTTTCGATTACTTCTGCTCCCATTTTGTTTTGCAGCACCCCTTTTTTGCGGCACCCATAGTCATCCAATCGCAGGTAATTAGGGATTGGGTTTGTTCTTGCTGCACCCATTTTTTTACTCTATTTTTTCTGTGATTTTTTACTCGGCCCCCTTTTTTTTGTCTTGGGATTGGGTTTGATTGTTACGGCACCCATGAGTTTTACTCGGCTCTCATTTTTTTCTGTTCTTGTTTTTGTGGTTTTTTTGTTCTTTTTTTGTGCTTTTTTCTGTTTTTTTTACAATTGTGCAATAAAGAAAAACAATCACAAGGATATTTTAGTAATTTTATTCTTTCCCTACCACCTCACGTTATCTAATAAACATCCAAACACAATTTTGTAACTCATTACCTTACTTTACCCACCTTCAATTACCTACCATTACATACCTAATAAAACTTTCTATCTACCTCCAACCAAACATACCCTAAATTTCAATTTCATAGTTCTCCCGCTATGGATTCCTGCATCCAGGCCTTGTACAGTCAATCCAGTCTCAAATCAAAGGTTCGTATAATCGTATCTCAACGTATGGTTTTCTCGAGCAGGTGAATGTTCATTCTCCTTAGTATTTGAGCTGAATAGTAATCGTTTGCAGTTGAGCTGTAGCGTAGCTTCCTTCCATAGATCTCGTAGATCCAGGAGTTCGATAACAATGTCTGGCGATAGCTCGAACATAAGAGTCCCGCACGTGCTAACCGTCGCAGGTTCGGATTCCAGCGCCGGTGCTGGAATCCAGGCGGACCTCAAGGCCTGCGCGTCGAGGGGAGTCTACTGCTCCACGGTTATCACTGCCGTTACTGCTCAGAATACAGTGGGAGTTCAGGTATCAATGCAATCTTCAGATTATGGATTGTCACTTAGAACGAATTTGGATTGTTATTTGTGTTTCGTTACTCTAATTCTTTGATCTTGAATGTTTTCATGTTTAGGGTGTACACATTGTGCCAGAAGAGTTCTTGGCGGATCAGCTGAGGTCAGTTCTATCTGATATGCGTCCGGATGTTGTAAGTGTGTCCGACTCAATTTAGTCTCTTAATGAATCTTAAGACAACCTGATATTTATGTTCAGTACTTATTGATAAAAACTAAGAACTAGAGACTGCATAAAACGGAAAAGAAAAAATCCGGAAGGCAATTTGTGTTATGTGGTTCATCACTGTTAGACCATATTATTTTCTGATTACAGTACCAAACTAGGCGTGTACATAGTAGTATGTGACGAGATTGCTATTGGCTGACATGGATTATATCTAGGTGAAAACGGGCATGCTCCCTTCCACGAGCACAATCAAGGTCCTCTGTCAGTGTCTTAAGGAATTTCCCATTCAAGGTACTACTACATCCAAGACAAGAATCTTCTTTCTGGGTTGAGTTTGATTTGCACTTGTGTTGATGCGTCAAATTCATTAAGACAGCTTTGGTGGTTGATCCTGTCATGGTCTCTACAAGTGGAGACACCCTATCTGGTCCCTCAACTTTAGCCAGTTTTCGGTAAGTTTACTGAAATTTACTGAAAGTTTCTTATTAGCCCCCCGGACCCTTCAATGTGTTCTATGAAGCCGTTTGTCAGTATTGGATTGCGCTCTGTTAGTGTCTGTCTATGTGAGGTAACATTGTAACATATGCATCTATTTGTTACTCCATCAATGTTTTCATGAAACCATGACATTCCGTTACACTATATTAGGGATGAGCTCATTCCCATGGCTGATATAGTGACTCCAAATCTGAAGGAGGCATCTGCTTTGCTAGGTGGCATGCACTTGGAAACACTTGATGACATGCGATCTGCTGCTAAATCTATACATGAATTCGGCCCAAGGTTAGATTCTAGCTTCCTAATTTTTATTAATGGATGATGAGAAACTACATGTTCATCGTTCACTTTTAATCTTTATTATGACAATCTACTTGTTCATCTTTTTATTTCAATCCTTTTTATCATTTGTAACTTTCTGGAAGAATATGTCAATGGAAAAAGGGGTTGTCTGCAGGAATGTACTTGTGAAAGGAGGTGACCTCCCTACTTCTATGGATGCTGTTGATATCTTATATGATGGTGGGTATGACATACATCTCTCGTAAACACTTGCGAAGTACAAGTCTTAGTGCACTTTATTGTGTCATGTGCTCAACTGTGTGAATGCGTGCTTACGGGTTTCCCATTTTCACTTGAGACAGGGAAGGAATTTCATGAATTTCAGTCGCCACGCATAAGTTCAGCAAACACCCATGGAACTGGTTGCACACTGGCTTCTTGTATTGCAGCTGAGTTATCTAAAGGCTCTCCAATGATTTCTGCTGTTAAGGTAATTACTTTAACACATTTTGGGGTTTGAAGTCAGGATGGGGTTAGAGGTGCCTTGTACAGCTGTAACTAAAGATAAATGGCTGATTAGCTCACTTAATTAACGTGCCTCATTTTGTCTCTTCTCTTTCCTTTCTGTGTCGGGTTGATTTGTTCTCCATGTGTTCTAGCTTTTTGCTTAGGATCACCGTGGTAAGGTAAAATATTTGAATCCCTTCGCTTTTCAATTCACATCTTAAACATTGGCTAGAGTTTATTATTGAGGTGATGGGTGGTATGGTCTAAAATCAAAATGAAAATAAATTGAGGCTTTCTTGTCCTGGCTCTCATGAAAGTTCTGGAAAAATTTAAAGTTTGTTTAATCACAATCACATCAAATTCTTTTATCAATTGTTTCAATATAATGGGTTTCAAGTTTCAACTTCTAATATTATTTGTTGCACAATGTATTTTTGTTGTTTTTAAATTGGGTCTAACTTACCAAAAGGATTCTCAAGATATGAGGTTTACCCTACATTTTACCCATTTGAGTCAAACTCGATTAACATTCAATATCACACACTAAAGAGTTGTCAAATTGGCGCTTTTGCCTCTGGCAGGTAGCTAAACAATGTGTTGAAACAGCCTTAGATTACAGTAAGGATATAGTCATTGGAAATGGTCTTCAAGGTCCTTTTGATCATCTATTGAAGCTCAAGAGTAATGCACTGAAGTCATGTAGGGCACATCATTTTGTTCCAAGCGATCTCTTCTTGTATGCTGTTACAGATTCAAGGATGAACAAAAAGTGGGGGCATTCAATAACTGATGCGGTGAGAGCTGCGGTAGAGGGTGGTGCCTCTATTATTCAACTTAGGTTAATTGTGTTTTTTCATTATCCCTTTTTATATGTTTTGTTATTTTTGACTGGCTAAGAGAGGTGATGGACCAAGAATATAAATAGGAAGCTTGGCACCCGAGCCTTGAAAGTGTGGCAAAACAAATATCGGCTAATTGTGGTTATCATTTGCATTTATATATTTCTTATAGTGTTTTTTTTAAAATATACAAATATATTTGAGAAAATAGGAGAAAATAGGAGACAGCAAAACAAATATCGGCTAATTATACCACACATTATACTCCACATGTAATAAGCCAATAATTAGGTGACAGGTTGCCCAAGCCGAGTACTAGAATCTACATATTTTGCCAACAATGCTTCTTGAGGTCAACTCCACAATAACATAATTGAATCCAAACTTTTTCCCGGTTGAATTGAGTAGCTTGACCAACCCCCTCCCCACCGAAAGAAAGAGGGAAAAAAATGTTGATTGGTTTATTTGTGGTGTATTTTAGGGAGAAGGATGCAGAAACATTAGACTTCTTGGAAGCAGCAAAATCATGTTTGGAAATATGTCGCCTCCATGATGTACCCCTATTGATAAATGACAGAATTGACATTGCACTAGCTAGTGATGCTGATGGCGTGCATGTCGGGCAGTCTGACATGCCTGCCCATGCTGCCAGGGCCCTTCTCGGGCCCGACAAGATTATTGGAGTTTCGTGCAAAACACCAGAGCAAGCTCATCGGGCATGGGCAGAAGGGGCCGATTACATTGGCTGTGGGGGCGTATATCCAACAAACACTAAAGAAAACAATCTGACAATCGGATTGGATGGGCTGAAATCTGTATGTCTAGCTTCAAAATTGCCAGTTGTGGCTATTGGTGGCATTGGCATCTCCAATGCCGAGGCTGTGATGGCTATGGGACTACCAAACCTGAAAGGTGTTGCTGTAGTGTCTGCTTTGTTTGACAGGGAATGTGTTGCTACAGAAACCAAAAAGCTGCATAAGGTGCTTTCTCAATCAGCCACAAAAGCAATCTGAAGCTTGTTGGTATGTCACTACTCACTCATGCATTTGTTGATCTCATCTCTCTTTCGCCTGATTTTCACCACAAATTCATGTCTACTTTTGAGTAAGGATAAGGCTTGCATAAACATACGCTCCCCAAACTCTACTTTTTTTTTGTGTGTGGATTTTACTGAGTTTGTTGTTGCCCAAGATTAAAAATTACTCCCTCTGTCCCATTTTAAATTGCCTGTTTGCCTTTTTTCTCCGTCCCAAAATAAGTTGCCTGTTAGTTGTTTTCGTAAACTTTTAAAAATAAAATACCTAAACTACCCCTAAAATAAGTCACTCTTCTTCACCTTATCTTCTCATTCATCAGTACCCCTCCTAAAAAGTAATGTCAATTTCGAAAAATCAACTCTATTTTTTATTTTCCTTAAATATGCCCAAAAGTCAAAACAGGCGATTTAAATTGGGACGGAGGGAGTAGAAGTATTCAAAGAGATAAAGCAGACTATTGGTGTTCTTGTATATGGCTGTAAAACACATCATTACAATCTCCGTTGTTTGAACTTGAGGTATCGTAATGGAGGTCAAAATTGTACAAGTGCCATCTCTACAAACAAAAATGTCTAGACAATAATTGACTACAAAAAAAATGTTGCTTGGAATGTTTGCTTTGTGATTTGGTTCCTCCCTAATGATTGCAAAGTGGAAACTGCTGCCATTGTAAATTTGTATCTTAGGCCTTAGAGATGTACTAAGTTTTACAGAAAAATACTTTGTACAATACACAAGTAAATAAATTAGTTTAGGATAAAGAGGTTCAGACAAATAGCCAATGTTGACTGCAGCCTATTCGAGTTCAACTTGAACTATTACCGTCTTTTACTCATGTTTGTCTCATTGAGTTTTTGAGCTTAGAATGTAGCTCGAATATGTCTTGTTTCGAGCTTGAACCATATCAAGCCGAATCCACGGCCCCTTTTAAGCGAGTACTGTTTTATTTGAGTTAAATCACATTAGTGTATTCTTATTAGTCATAAATGAAATGAGTTCAAAGTTGTGCAGGATAAGGTGTACATGAACTTAGGGTCTGTTAGCTAGTGTGTTTGGTGAAAATGGAAAATGAGATCAATGGGAAAATGGGTTTCAGTGAAAGGAAAAATCTGCTCTATTATCCGGAAAATGACTTAATTTTCTTAACTTGTACTTGAATAGATTAATTTGCTTGATATTTGTTGGGAGATTGAGTTTTGTGTTCCTCCTTATTCCATACTCATTTTCAGAGATATGATCCAAATAGAAGTATACAAATTTCATTCTTTCACCCAAACACTTAGGGTGTGTTTGTTAACAGATGTATTCATATTTTAATTTTTGTTTTTGAAATTTGTTGATGCAAAAAAAAAAAATCAACTTTGATATTTCTAGATATCATAAATCTTTCAAATGGAGAGTTTCGATATCTCTTGTATTTGGAAGATATCAAAATGTGAGTTTGATATTTCTCTTAGCTATTGATTATTTCACTATCATCGGCTACTATTGTTACCACCAACTACCCCTGTTGTTAGTACCTCACGTCTATCACTAATTAAAAATTATTTTAGATCTCTCCAGATAATTTCATTTCTGATTTTAGAATCATATTCCGTATACTCCCTCCGTCCTGCTATATTCGTCTACTTTTAACTTTTGAAACTATTCATCTAAACACTTTGACTCATCAAATTCTCTCAATGTGTAAGTCTAAATATAGTCAGATCTTGTTTGATTTGTCTTAACATATAGATTATTAATATATAATTTCTATAATTTTTTAATATACAAATTATAAGATAAAATGGATTAAAGAAATGTATTGGATGGTGTGTAAAAATGAAAGTGGACAAATACTCTGGACGGAGGTAGTAATTTATATTATTGTTCAAAAATGGAATTTGACTTGATTTTCTAAAATTTATATTTCTAAAATTTACCAAATGGAATTTGACTTGATTTTCTTAACACTATGTTTGGTTCAAAGAATTTGAAAAAAAAAAGAAAAAAAATTTACTCACCAAATGCTATGTCTTCTCATTTTCTTTTCTTTCTCCTTTTCTCTTACCAAACAAGGAAAATGGTTGTGCTTCTTAATTTCTTTTTTTCCTTTCCAATTCTTTGAGTATTAGCAAGCCAAGTTTGAATAATAATCCGTAGTAAGAGTTAAATTTTGAGGAGTAACTACTAGTCTGCTTCTTAACTTTATACGTTTGAACCAACCGGGCGCACATAGTAGGCCTGAAACTTGAACCTCCAACTTGGGTTTCACGACAACGAGTCGGGTTCGGTCGGATTTGAGTATATTAAAATTTGACCCGATTTAAGTCGGGCTTGGGTTTGGTTTTGGTGGGTTAGTTTTAGATATTTATTTTTTCTTTTCAAATTCGGTTTAAGATTTGATCGTATCGGTTAAGGTCAAATTCGGGTATGAATACTAACAAACACATTTATGAAAATTCTAGATTGAAATACATTAAAAATATAAAATTTTAAATACGACATAAAATTTGAGATATTAACAAAAATAATTATGACTGAATACCATCATCAACAACAACAACAACAACCCAGTTAAATCCCACAAGAGTAGGGTCTGGGGAGGGTGTGTGTACGCAGACCTTACCCCTACTCGAAAGTAGAGAGGCTGTTTCCAAAGAGACCCCTGGCTCAACGTCGAAAGTTGCATTGCTTGACTAACTGCTACTTCATTAATTAAAGAAGCGCAGACAGTTTAGAGATTCATTTTGATTTATTCCATCACACCCAAAGCCAAAAAATGGTGAAATTTTGGCTCCATCGGAGATGATGGAAATTATGACTGAATACCATCAAGAAAATTAAATAGTAAGTTCAACTAATATTATATGGAGTACAAAGAAAATAACACAAGGGTGACACACAAGATTTATAAATAATAAAAAAATAAAACACAGAAATACAAGTTTTAAAACATTCAAAAAATGTGTATCAAAAAATACATGAAATATAAGAATATAGGGGTTTTAAAACTTATTGAAAGTCGGGTACGGGTTGGGTCGATCAAATATACTGACCCAAATCCGACCCGAAAAGAGTCGGGGTTGGTTTAAATTTTTTGGGTCGGTTTCAGATATTTAAATTTTCGGTTCGGATTCGGATATTATAAGCTCCGATAGGGTCAGTAAAAGTCAGATTCGGGTATTATTGCGGAGTACGTAGTACTCCGTATTTGCTAAGTTTTAACTTTTTTTCTCAATTATTCTCTAACATGATTTTCATGTCAAATTAATTTTTTGTATAAATATATAATACTCCGTATTATTTTAATTTAATTTGGGAGCAAATTTTAACAATTTTGATTGAAAAAAGTCAAAAGTTAACAAATATTTAAGTACTTATATATTTTTAAGTCATTGTTTGAATAGACTTGAAAGAGTTAGAAAAAAACGGATTAAGAGAAATTGAATAAAATTAAAAAAATGATTTTTTTAATCAAAAAAAGCAAAAGAACATTTTAAATTACTAATGCGGGTAGGGTCCCCCATTTGCTACCCTTTCTTAATCATTGGATCTTATCATATGGGTTCACAGGCGCTCAATAGCCAGACCAAGTAGACCCCGCGCTTTAAGCACGGCGGGCCCATCCAGATTTTTCCAATAAAGGGAAGGAACAAAAAAATCCCACGCCTCTGCCCCTTTGTCTGCCGTTGCATGTGTTTCTGTTGGGAGATCGCGCAATTTCTTCTCCCACTCCGGGAAGAACCTCAGCGTTCAAGACGTTCTCTGCAAAATCCACGCGATTCTCGTTTCATCTTCGCGATCTTAGCTGTAGCCTGGTAGGATTTTTGTTTCTAGCAGTAATTGTAATCCGGGAGTCATGAATTGAAGCTCGATTCCGAGCACATCTGTTGCCAAGGCTAGGGTTTTGCTCGCGTCAGAGAAGAAGAAGAAGAAGGATGGAGAAATACGAGCTGGTTAAGGATATAGGTTCTGGGAATTTCGGCGTGGCGAGGCTCATGAGGAACAAGGAGACCAAGGAGCTTGTGGCCATGAAGTACATAGAAAGAGGGCACAAGGTTTGCTTGATTTCTCCATCTTCGTACTTGTATCTATTTGTAATTAGCCTTTTGGATGTTCATTGATCCTCTGATCAGTAGAGATCTTACCGAAGTTTAGGTTTTTTTCCCACTCTCTTGTGTTTTATCAGTGGAATATGGTTTAATATTCTGTTTAGTATATAATGATCTGCTGATAAGATGTACTTTGAGGGTGCAGATTGATGAGAATGTAGCAAGGGAGATCATAAATCATAGATCACTGCGGCACCCGAACATAATTCGATTCAAGGAGGTGAGTATATGAATTTCGTATTGGTGGGTAGTTGCTTTTTCCGTGTCAAGTTTCTTGTCTAACCCGTTTTCCTTCTGGATTCAGGTTGTATTGACTCCTACTCATCTTGCTATTGTCATGGAATATGCAGCGGGTGGAGAGCTCTTTGAACGGATATGCAATGCTGGAAGATTCAGTGAAGACGAGGTACCATTGCTTTTCCTGACTGATGACTCTGTCTCTGCTTTCTGTTCTTCTGAAGAAGAAAAAAACAGATCCGAAAAGGAGGGGAAAATCTTAAGTTTTTGGGTTGTGTGCAGTTTTATTTGCAGGAATTTATTGTTTCAACTCTTCTTGATTTCTTTAGGCTAGGTACTTCTTCCAGCAGCTTATTTCAGGAGTCAGCTACTGTCACTCTCTGGTATGCTACATTTGCCCGTTGTTGTGTTATGGGATTGGCCTGGATTAATTTTTTATGCATTATTAATGTTTCATATTCATTGGTCTGTAGCAAATATGCCATAGAGATCTAAAACTTGAGAATACCTTACTAGATGGAAGCCCAGCCCCACGCCTGAAGATTTGTGATTTTGGCTACTCAAAGGTATATTCGTAATGAACTTCAGTATTTGGTCAAAGCTTCAGGGTTCTGACATTGTTTTGGTTATCCTCTTCTAGTCTTCTCTTCTGCATTCAAGGCCAAAATCTACTGTTGGTACTCCAGCTTATATTGCTCCAGAAGTCTTATCTCGCAGAGAATATGATGGCAAGGTGAACAAACACTACTTTTATGTAATAATGTTTTACAATGAAACAATGAGAACTTTCAGTTTAAGGCCTATGGGGCAGGGTGTTATCAATATTCACTTTGCAAGTCTTATTCATGGTTTCATGCATTTGCTCAGATGGCTGATGTGTGGTCATGTGGGGTGACACTCTATGTCATGCTGGTTGGAGCTTACCCTTTTGAAGACCAGGAAGATGCCAAGAACTTCAGGAAAACTATTCAAGTGAGTTTCTCCTTCAACGGTCATGTATTGCAGGACATTAGTAATTTATCTTTTCGTAATTTAATAGAAATTTGCTTCCTATGCTTCTTTACAATATCTAATCGGGTGTTTGTTTCCAGCGCATAATGGCTGTTCAATACAAAATTCCTGACTATGTCCACATATCACAAGATTGCAGGCACCTTCTCTCCCGAATATTTGTTCCAATACCATCAAGGGTTCTCTCTCTCTCTCTCTGGATGCCTTTATAAAGTGCAAGTTAGCTACTTCTATTTTGAATTGAATGTTATGCATTAATTTACACACATACCCAGCTTTCTAAATTGTACATGTGGACTACAAGCATCACTAGATGGATAGTTCGTTAGAAGGCATATGCTTAGAACAAGAATGGCCATTTTGGAATTTTTAAAAATTTACCAAGTCACAAAATGGAAACATTCCCAGACTTTCTTTAGCTCAAGAACACAATGTTATCCTTATTTATAACAACACATTCACAATCCATTTGGAAGCCGAAGAGTGCTAGGTAAAAGAGAATAGAAAGGAGAATGTAGGGGAAATTTGGAAGGAAATAAAATGTAGGGGAAGTTAAATAGTGGTTTCACACACAATAGGGGGCCAACCACTGAAATATGTTTTTTTTGTCATGCACCACATGTTTATTATACCCCAAGTATCCCAACTATTCAAGTTTCACACAGTCCGTTTTCTGAACAAATTCTCAACAATAGATGTACCCGAACCAAAGTAACTGGTTCTCCTTACTTTTTTTTCAATATGGGCTACTTTCTCCTTACTTTTGTAAGACATATTTACATCATATATTTATGGGATATCAATAGTTATACTTTTCTTTATGTTATCAAACTTTTTATACATTGAATGATTTGGTTCCAGAAAAACCTGTTCATTTTTTGTTTCATACTATTATTCGGACATATATATTTTTAAAAACTTATATACTCCGGGGTAATACACAAAAAAACTACTTTGCTAAAATATGAAGTCTCATACTAAGTTATAGTTATTTTAGTATAATTATAAATCTTTGTTTTTTCTAATTAAAAACTTTATACCTAAATACCTTATTTATTTCTACAATCTAATTTAAAAATTTAAATTCCGTTTACCCCACCCACCCGAATGATTCAGACTCATTAAAAAAAAGTTAAATGCTTAAGGGTTTGGGAAATAAATAAGGTATTTAGCTCTAAAGTTTTTAATTAGAAATCAAAGATTTATGATTATACTAAAATAACCATAACTTAGTAGGAGAATTTGTATTTGTTTAGTAAAGTATTAATTTTGTGTATTACGGAGTATTTAAGTTTTAAAAATAAATGTCAGAATAATAGTATAAAACAAAATTTGAACATCTTTTTTTAGTTTTTTCTCATGAACCAAATCATTGAACAAATAAAAAGTTTGAAAACATGAAGAACAATCTAACTATCTATGTTCTGTAAGAATATGATCGATGTAAATGTGTGTTTCAAATAAAATCCCAGGAATAGGTATAGATACATTGACTGGGTCGTTGACTCCGGTTAACCCTTGACCCAGTTGCTCCTCGACAATAGATGTGCCCGAACCGACGCTGTTTGTTCTCCTTACCTTTTATTCAATATGGGCTACTTTCTCGTGAATTGCCTCGTTGTGCACTTTAAAGTCTTCCCACAAATCCATCACAACAAACACACTTCCACCGCAATCACCTCTCTATATCAAATGCTATTCATTGCCCAACATAAAGATCCATATGGTAAACCAGTTCTTATAGCAATTCTATAGAAACTTAAATATATGTAGACAAATTAAATTAAAACACTAGAAACTTACAAAGTACAATGACTTCCCTTCCTTTTTCTCTCTTTCCCTAGCATTTTCTTAGATCCAAATATACCTTTAGTGACATGTTTATATTTTGCAGAGGATTACACTTAAAGAAATAAAGTCCCATCCTTGGTTTTTGAAGAATCTTCCAAGGGAATTGACAGAAGTGGCACAAGCAGTGTATTACAGGAGAGAAAACCCGACCTTTTCACTCCAAAGCATAGAGGAGATAATGAAAATTGTTGAAGAAGCTAAGAGCCCTCCTCCAGCTTCCCGCTCCGTTGGGGGCTTTGGGTGGGGAGGTGAAGAAGAAGAAGAAGAGGAAGAAGAAGAAGAAGACAAGGAAGAAGATCCTGAGGGCGAAGAGGATGAATATGACAGGCAAGTGAAACAAGCACATGAAAGTGGAGAAGTCCCTCCTGTATCCTGAGATGGACCCAATTTCGTCTATTCTCTTGTTGAATTTTTAAGGCTTGCAGCTTAATAAATCTGTATATTTATATATTAATATATATATTTATTTTACAAAAAGCCGGTGGAACCCGAGCCCCGGCCACCTCGGTGAGTTTATAGTGTGAAAGTATGAACTGTGGTTGCATGAATTTTTAAATGTTGTAGTTAATGTTGGTGGAGAAAGTTTGTGATTTGAGTTTAAAGCTCTACATTACTATGCTTTTTCTTGATTTTTTTCACTTTGAGTCATAAAAGTGCTGTCTGGCAGGGGAAAATCTGTTCAACTTGAAAATGGATGGTTTGCCATTTCACTTACATGGTCTCGTTTTAATGTAGGCACTAAATAATTTCAATTTTTTGAGTTGTACTCCCTCCGTCCCAAATTATAATGTCTGTTCACTATTCACAGGGTCAAATTTCATTCATTTTCTTTCTATATTTTCGTTAGCAAATTGATAAAATAAAATATTATTGTCACTACTAGTTTTGTAGATCTTTTGATATAGTATTTTGATATGTAATTTTTATTTTTTAATTTTATACCATTTGTCATATAAAATGATTTGAAAATAACTTTAGTCAAACATCGTAAACCGAAACAGGCGTTATAAAATGGGACGGAGGGAGTACAACGTATGAAATACGGGGTATCAATATCTGTCGCATAAGAGGGATTGCTTGTAACGCCACAAAATATGGCCTAAAATTTATTATAAAACAAAAGTAGTTTTTGTCTAATAAAGAATATTTTTACGTTTGACCAAAAATAAATGGATTTTCAAAATAATGACTTTGTGTAAAAACTTATTTTTATGGATATGTCTCGAAGAGACGAATCCAACGGTATATTTTATGAACCAATTTGATTTATAGATTTCAAGTTATGACGATTTTAAATATTAAAATTTGTAACTTTGACCCATAAAATAAACTCAATTCAAAAGTGATTTCATCAGATTATAAATCACAATTTTGACACTTGACAACACTATATTTGTCATTTGGATTTAATTCATATATTTTTATCTCATTTATATTATTAAATTAATTTATGACTAAGACAGACCCAGACACTGAGAAAAATATAAAAGTTCTCAGAAAAATATTTTGATTANAATCCAGCCCAACAAACGGCTCGCGATTTCGTTGAGTAACGAAGAAGATATGGCCAAAATACCGGGACTGCGCCAGTGGTGGCGAGCTCCTCGGGTTGGACCATTTTCTTCACCAAATTCATATTGTTTCATTCCAAGAACTTACCATAAACTCTCTAACACTTATTAGGAACATCCGGAAGGTATCGTAGAGAAGGTTCGGCGTTAGAATATTGAAGTTAATGAGATAATCGTCGGAATCATGTTCATCGACATACCCGAAATTCTGGACAGCAACTTTCTATTGACTTCAGGTCCGATTTACGCCATCTTACATATGTTAAAACGAAATACTTTCTATACGAAAGTTGTAGCCTTACATCTTAGGAGTCCACAGAATCAAACGGTTTGCAATTCCGTGAAGAAACGATGGATATATGCCCAAATTACCGCAAGCTGTCCAGTTGTGACGGAAATGACAAAGTTGGCAAATTTCGATGTTGTTTCCACTCCCGCTCATCCGCGCATAAGGTTTCGGCCGATGATTTCCAGGTCTGTACCTTTGCGTTAGACTTGTCGAATCATTCATCACATACGTACATGAGCATATATGTTAATCCATTTGTTGAAATCATTCTAAAATATATATGTGATGCATATACAAGTCATCTATGTGTTAAGACTAAAATATACTAAATTCATAAAGTTAATATATATACATAAGTATACTTAACCATTTGAAATCAACCCAACAATATGTATATGTTAATCAAAGGTGTTTAAAATGCTTAAAGAAATATTTTGGACACTCAAAATATCAAGAGGTAGATTCGCAGAACCAAACGGTCGAGGCAAACGGTCGACCGTCGTATTAAATTTTGAAACGGATCACGACTGTCAGCCAAACGGTCAACCGCCGGTGGCTGACGGTCGACCATTTGCAGCCAGTCAACAACGGTCGACCGCCGGTCAACCGCGGTCGACCGTCACGGTAATCCGGCATCTCGATGCAAAGAAGATCAAGGTCGACCGTCCCTCCAAACGGTCGACCGTTCCGAGCCCCGTAGCTTAATTAAATGATATTTTTATCAGATTTCATCCAAATAAAATAAAGTATATTTATCCAATCATGTTGTTTACAAATTGTTCATATCATTTGATTCATTACATCATCCATATTGAAACATATCACATCATGTGCATGCGCAAGAGATCAGGCGAAAGTGCGTCTCTTGTAGTGTGATGTGCGGGACTTATTAGTCCGACATCACCCGTTCCGGGCTTAGTGTACGTACATGGTATTCAGGTTTTGAGTACCACCCCTACTTTCTAGTCTCCCTTGAGAGACTAAGGCCGCGTGAGTTCGTCGTACCAAATGGGCGAATCTCATAGCGCAAGGGTGTCCTTGCTCGTTAGAATCATGCATCATGTTATCATCATCAAGTACATCGATTACATAGGTGTCGTGTAATCATCATCAAGATCAAGTATATTGATTACATAAGTATCATGTAATCATCCTCACAAAAATTGAATGTGCCATCATGTAATTATCATTAAATATTTATCATCAT